ATATCAGTGATCTATGCTCTAAGGCCAGTCAAAAAGTGGGGGTCCTAGTGCGGCTACGCAATTTGATACCCTGTAATGCTAAACTAGCACTTTACAGGTCTTCAATTCTGCCCCATCTAACCTACTGTCATTTAGTATGGCACTTTTGTAATGCATCGGATCGGAGAAAGCTTGAGCGGATTCAGGAGCGAGCACTTAGGGCGGTGTACAAAACTAGATCAGCGTCCTATCAAGAACTGCTAAGTCGCGCCAAACTACCGACGTTGAACAATCGGCGCCTACAAGACATTGCCACTTTGATGTTTCAAGTTAAGCACAGTCTCGAACCTGAGATTATTTTTGGCTTATTTAATATAAAGAACACTCAATATAATTTACGGAACAGTGTCTTTAAACTGCCAAGATTCGAAACTGTAAGATTTGGTAGGAATTCTATTAAATATATGGGACCTCTCATCTGGTCGAAGTTACCAAGACACCTAAGAACGATAGAAACTCTAAATTCGTTCAAGAAGAACATAAGAAAAGTCCACCTTTCAACTCTCGTTGAAATGTAAAACTTAACTAAATAACTTTATGATCTTTTTAATTATCTACTGTAAATAGCTATCATCTACATATGTCAATGTATTTGACTTTTAAATTTTTTAGAGTCCTCCATTAGCTTATAGCTAAAAACATAGACACTTAAATAAAGTTTTTCATTGATTTTCTCTTTCATTAAAAAGGCTCCCTTGAAAATCAAAAAACTACTCTATTTCGATTTTTTTCCAAACTGTACTCGAATTAATCTGAGTAGTTGAACTAAACAAATTAAATTCAGTTGTTATGTTTTTACTTAGCGCAGTCGTCTGTAAATAGTTGTTATGCAGATAAAGATTTATCTAACAGGTAAAGAGGCCTTATTCTATTGTAAAGCACGCATAAGGCGGCCAGAGCACTCAAGAAGTAGGGGAAACACGAGACATAGTCGAAGTGCTTGATTTATATACGTTTTACAGATCACGCAAGAGTTGTTGGTAAAAAAAGGAAAGAAACCATGCGAAGGGACCGGGAAAAGGCTGGTCATTGTACAAATTAGTCGATGGCGTGACAACGTTACTCCGTGCATTTTAACCCTAACGGACGCAGTTTTAGCCAATCAAAACGCGCATTATATGGGAATTTATCCACTGCGCGCAAAATTACATTATTCATTGGGGTAGGAGAGCAAACAGAGCAAACAGAGTTTAAAGAACGGTACTGACCTTTCACTTGTCGTTTCACATTTTCGCCCCTGGCCTTACAAGTTCTTTCCAGGGCAATACAACAAAGTAAGCCGGTAATTGAAATTATCTTAATGAAACATTTTTAAAAAACCTTTTTTTAAATACCTCTTTTGAGCCAAAAGATGCTTAGTTAAAGACGTAATGGTTCAAATCACTGGCTTGCAACTATAACCAGCAGAATTAAATAAATGACCCAGCAGCTTACAGCTGTTTAATGTTAGAGTCCATTTCGGTGTAATACCAGTTCCGCCGATTTAGTTGTTTGGCCCTTCTGAATTAGTTAGAATAAAAAAAAATTACAATTCAATTGAATACTATTGTGACTGATCTATACTTTTGGCGGGCTTTGGGGACTTTTGCGTTTCTAGTCGGACTGAGAGTTAAGATGTGATTGCCAATGTTTCTCGTTACACAAAGTAGCCCAAAAATTTTACTTACAGAATTTTCAGTAGGAAATATCCCGTCCACCCGGACTGAAAAATTTATAAGCAATAAATGGCAGATCTCGCGGGAGGAGCTCGTTGCGTGACACGACCAAACAATGGATCAAAATCTAAACTTTTCAAGCTCCCCTCCCCTTAGCCCCCTACAAGATAACGAATGGGTCCCTTATATTAATCGTATTTTATCATTATCCGAGTGGAGGTTTAGAATCATGGCGCCGAATGGCTACAGGAAGATCACCTCGACCAATGAATTCACTGAGAAAGTTGGTTTTGTCTCTATCCTTTTGTTTCAATGGATGAACGAGGTCATGAAGACAGGCAATCAACGAGCCTTGGAGGAAAGCGATTTTGTACCGCTCTCNTTAAAGTCTACGGAAATGAAGAGGAAGGACGACCTTATCCTTGAAGATGTGGAATTCATTGCTGCATCAGGAACCTTGACAGTTATCACCGGGCCAGTAGGCAGCGGAAAATCAACTCTTCTCTTAGCGATCGCTGGCGAGATGTCAGACATAAGTGGAACAATTAGTCGTCATGGAACTTTTGTGTACGCGCCGCAAGTAGCCTGGGTGTTCTCTGGAACCTTAAGAGAAAATATCTTATTTGGCGAGTCGTACAATGAATCAAGATACACCAGGGTAATCGAGGCTTGCGCCCTCACGAAAGACTTTCAGCAGTTTCCGAACGGTGATGAAACTGTTGTTGGTGAGCGCGGTGCCGTTCTTAGTGGTGGTCAGCGTGCAAGAGTAAATTTAGCACGCGCCGTGTATGTGGATGCAGACCTCTACTTGTTGGACGATCCTCTCAGTGCTGTGGACTTCAAAGTGGGTCAGCATATCTTTGAAAAGTGTATCAAGGATGTGCTTGGTAAAAAGACCCGACTTTTAACTTCTCATCAAGAGCCACACATGATAGATGCTGACCAAGTGATAATACTGTATAAAGGGCGCGTACTGGGGAAGGGGACCTACGTAGAGCTTCAAGATAAAGGAATTTTAAATACCACCATTTACCCACTGTGCAAAAACACTCTTATAGAGAAATTGTCCGACAACACCGCAAGGGATAACGAAGAGAAACTCAGCGGTGTGATGCCACTTGCTACTGATAGTAATGGTCTGGAAATATCTGTTGAAGATCGGGCAATCGGAACGGTGTCAAGTAAGCTTTACTGGGACTACTTCAGAGGTGGCATTCACCCCTTATTGATCATTGGAGTTGTTATTCTGTGTCTTATTACTCAAGGTTAGCCTTAGTAAATTTATGTAGTAGCGAGGAACAGTCATTACATTTCTCCTGTGGGGGAGAGGTTGTATCACGGTAAAATTTGAATGATTCTCCCCTAATGCTCTGTAACACTGTCATGATCCTCACCTTTCTCATTGGCAGTTAATGGACATTCAACTAACTATAGCTATAGAGCTATAGTGTTCTCTTTATACTCTGTTCCCTCCTGCAATTCCCCCTAAATCCCCCCCTACCCTCCCAGGTGACACAAGATGACTGGCTCCTCAAAAATGACAAGTCCCTACATGTTGCGACAATTATTGGAAACGAGGCATGTAAGCAGTCATAAGTGTTTTAGTTACTCACTGTCTATTTCTCCCTTTTTCAGCATCGATGGTTGCCCCCGACGTTTGGCTGTCGTTTTTGACCAGGAAACGTCCTTCAGAACAGAGAGACAAGACGAATCTAGCTATCTATGGCTGTTTCGTCGCTGCCTCTTTCATATTAGGCATCGTAAGATGCTACATTTTATTTTTAGTTTGTCTAAGATGCTCCGAACGTCTTCATGACAAAATGGTTGTGGCTCTTTTACAAGCACCGGTACTTTTCTTTGACTCAAATCCTGTGGGTAGAATTCTGAATCGATTCTCTAAAGATGTCGGCTGCATGGACGAATTATTACCGCTACAGTTTCTATCTACAGTTCAGCTGGTGCTGCTGTTGTTCTCATCGGTTATCGTGCCTTCTGTTACGAATCCTTGGCTTGTGTTTGTCACCATTCCAGTGACGGCTATGATTCTTTACTTCGCAAGATTTTATTTGAAGAGTTCCAGGGAGCTGAAAAGGTTGGAATCAATGTGCCGAAGCCCAGTGTTTTCTCACATATCAGAGACTCTTGAAGGACTGGACACGATTCGAACAAGAGGCAGACAGAAGGATTTCATTGAGAAGTTTTACAGGTGAGTTTGTGCATCTTATAAAGTGAACTTACAGGGCAAGCCTGTGATTTATTTTGGTGCGATTCAGGCCTGGTCCGCAGAGCGTGTGTAGTGTTGGGGTCATGGTTGCCATTTTGAACTATTATCCACAAAAAATGCTCTCTCGTCTTCTCTCTTTTCATAATCTTCCTCCAATGCACGAGTGCTGTGCAAACTAAACATTTGAACTGTATATGATATACGTAAGCCATTCCGGAAAAAATGAAAAATAGATATGAAAAAATACGTCACTTTTTGCGACGATTTATGTGTTTCTTGTTCTGACTTACAAAAATAAAGGACGAAGATCACTTTTAGAATCACTATCCCGTGTGCGCCCGTCTATCTCGTCCTGTTTAGGTTGAAACAAGATTCTCAACACTTAGTGGTCATGTGATAAAATGCTTATTGACCGGGTTTGGCCACTTAGTCAATAAATACACATATTGAAATTATTATCCTTTGGACAGCCATCAAGACACTCATATCCAGTCTTTTATCATGATGATGGCGAGTGGCAGATGGTTTGCTGTTCGTCTGGATGCGATCATTTCTCTATTAGTCGGCTTAGTGATTTTAGTGGCAGTTTTGATATCGCAAGACGCCGGTAAGTAAATTTCAGTCTTACGAGCGCGCGATTAATAGTAGTGATAGAGAACACGCGTTTCTTCGTCCACGAATAAGTTTGAGGCTTTGAACGCGAGCCGACGGAAGATCAGCATGTGGTCTTGCGCCAGGTTCTTGCGCCAAATCCCTCGCAAACCTCTCGCTAGCTGGATTTGCTCATGGCCTCAACACAATTCAAACCATTTGAACACGTGTTCCCGCGACATCTTGCCTCGTACCTAGTCATGCATAGTTCTGCTGCTAAAGGACCGGTAAGTTTCGTACACAGACCTTCCACGGCTAAGCAGTAGCATCACTCACATTTATACGGTAGGATTTAGGCACGAGATCAGAGACCAGTCATAGTTCATAGCGGGAGGTACTAATCTTACTTCCTCCAAGATCTGAAGTTTTTTAATCACCCCCTCATCGGCAGTGAGTTTGCTAAAGGCCCTCCCCCCCTATACTCTGTTAGTGACAGCTGATCTCCATTCCATTCCTCTAGAAAACCATGTGATATCTCCAGAATCCTCCAATCCCCCCCGCCTCTTCCCAACGGACTATGTATGATCCCTTACAACACTCCAAAGTGCACTGACCTTAATGTGCCACTGGCAAACGTGACTGCGTCTCTCAAGACCATATTACCTTACTAATATCATCAGCATCAACATAGATAATCGATAGTTATTCCATAAATAGAAATACAGTAATCCATCATCAATAATTCTGGTTTTTTTCTTACTTGTTAGTTTTATATTTTCTTATCAGCCTCCGCCGGACTTGCTCTTGCTTATGTCATTCAAACAGTGGCTCTGACACAATACGCTGTCAGAAAATCGTCAGATGTCGAGAATTTTATGACGTCAGTTGAACGAGTTATGGCCTACACCAAACTTGACTCAGAGCCTGGGTACAAAGTGGACAGACCTCCTCCAGAACACTGGCCACGTAAAGGAAATATCATATTTAACGATGTGTCGCTAACATATTACCCGGGGGGTCCACAAGCACTTAAAAGCATCAATCTCGGCATCAAAGGAGGCTCAAAGATTGGTGTTGTAGGACGCACGGGCGCCGGGAAATCGTCTTTTGTTTCCGCTCTGCTGCGCATGCCTGACCCTGATGGAGAGATCCTGGTGGATGGAATTCAGATTAAGGAAATTAATCTTCAAGCAGCTCGAGGATGTATATCCTCCCTTGGTCAAACTCCGGTGCTTTT